AAAGCAAGCTTTAAGATTTTTTTATATTAGAACTAGCCTTTATTACTTTATGATTACCTATTTATAAAGTATAAATTTTATAATTAGATAATTTAAAAATCTTAATATATTAATATTAATTTTACCAATATTAATTTTTAAAACATAAAATATATAATATCTAAAAATTATTTATTTTCTATTTCAAGTGAATTAATATATTATATAATAAGTATTTAAATCATTATTATAAATTTATCATTATGTAAATATAATAAAATATTTCTTAAAAAATATTATTTTTCTAAATTTTTAGATTAATATTGAATTATGTTAAGTTTATAGATCTTCTAAAACTATTTGTATTTTATAATACTATTATTAAATAATAAATTACATTAAAAAACTTATATATATTAGATTATTATATAATAATGGAAATTATTAAAATTTTTAATCAAAATAATAGATTAATTTCTAAAAGACTGATTTTATTATCAATTTTTAGAATGTCTAATTATAAAAAAACTTAAAATTTAATTAAGAAATAAGCATATAATTATAAAATACTATTTTAAATATACTTGTAAATATAAATTTCAAATTTCTTATAATAAAACAGTAAAAAACATGATTTATAAAGTTTATTATTGAAGTTCAAATCAATTATATATTTTATTTAAAAATATTATTATATTAATTTATTTAGTAACAAATCTTTAGACTGCAAAAAGTGATTATAGATAGATATATTAGTATAATAATAATAAGGCTTACCTCTGATTTTATATTATTAACTTATAGTTATTTAGCTTATTTGAATACAATAATTATAAAATATATTTTAAATTCTTTAATAAAATTTAAATTAATATTTTTTAATATTTTTTAATATATTCATTCTAATAATTAGTAAAGAAATTTATCAAATTATTGAGTAATAGAGTCTTAAAAATTCAGTTTTTGTCATTGTAACTAATAATGAAATCTTAATAAATCTCATTTGACCTCAATTAAAAAACAACTTTGTATAATTTATATTTTGCAATTTTCAGTATATAAAGGTTTAAACAATGTAAAATATACATTGAAATATTAAAAGTTTGCAAAGCTTTTTTAAATATTCAAAACAAGCACAAAGATTACGAAAAACATAGCTTATAGTAATGAAATAGATAAAAATACTGAAGAATCTACAAGTCCTTTAGATGTATTAACTATATTCATGTTAAATTACATAATGATATACAATTTGTTCCAACATCATTATTAATAAAAGATGAATCATATTTCACAGAAAGAAAGCGAAAAAATTAAAATAATTAATTTTAACATTTAAAAAAAGAAAGTAAATTATAAAGTTTTTAATTTTATTAATATTTTTAGTTTTATTTAAGAAATGGTTAAATTATTAGAGTTATTAAAAAAATACAACAAGAAAATTATCAGATGGGAATATTCAATACTTAATATAATGTATCTACATATGTATATTCTTAAAAAGAATGTTTGCTTCAAGAATCGGTGAAACATTAAGCAATTATTTAGATCTTATATATAGATCGAAAAATTCTGAAAATGAAAGAAAATTATAATTCAAGTTTTACAAATAATGAAAATAATATCCCAATTGGTGGAAATAGAAACAATGGCAATATAGACAATTTAAATAATAAGGTCGAATACTTACCTCTAGCAGATACTAAGGTTCTTTTGTAAAAGTTTATGCAGCTATTTTCTCTCTTTAAATGATACCAGATGAAATTTTCTAGTTGCAACTATATTAGATTCTCAGATAAATCTTTTCTATTTCCAGAATGAATTTGATCGTATAGAATTACAATTACAGGTTGAACATACAGTATATTAAAAAGTTTGTATGATCAAGATACTATACTTTCAAAAGATATTGGAGATAAAATGCCGGTTATAACAGATATAAATGATGACAATGATGTATTGCCTGATAATCAACCGGTTCCAGCATCTCCGAAAATTACAGACTTTGTGTAACTTGAACTCAATAATTTGGTTTTGGAATTGAAGATATTAATTTGAATAAATGCAAAGCAAAAACAGCAATATTTTAGAAATGAGAGATATCTGAACACAATATAGTGTAAAAGACGCTTAGAAAAGGTTTCTAGGTATACTAAAGATTACAAAAAAAAAAACAAATGATTTCAACAAAAGTAAACGTCTAATCTTAAAATCATATTGAATATAAGAATTCTCTTAAATGTCTGTAGTTGCCTCCGCTAAAGCTTTCGAACAATAAATGAGTGAATTTGAGTTCTTCGAACCATTAGATCATGTAATTGTATCCGATCGAATGTTTCATACTAGGAAATAGAAAGTCCGATCTTATTATATTAATGCATTAATCAACAGAACTACCCTATTAGAAGTAGAGGCTCGGAACATATCAAACCCGGATCTGTGTCTATTAAAATTCTACCCGATCAGAAGTCATGTTACTCATTTACCTGTGGAAACGAAATTTTCCCGACATCTCTTGCCCAAAGAATGTTTTGAAAAGCTGAAATTTCAGAAAGATATATTTAATAATTACATCTACTTTAATTTAAGTGGGATATTGAAGAAATCAATTCAGAATAAGTTTTTTTTAATTATAATTTTTCAGGATACAAAATTTTGAACGTTAATAAATTTTTTGAAAGTATTGAAATTTCCTTATGTTATTATTCAAGAATACTTTAGGAAAATGTCTCGGGGTTTGCTTTCATCATAGTATGATCTTAGAATTGTAACAAAACTTTCTTTACAATGATCTTTACTAAACCTAAGAGAGTAATTCATATTATTTGTTTAGTTATGTCGCGCCACAAAGTTTCTTATTATTTAATCCAAACAAATATGCATATAAATTGACAGCTGATATTGTTAACCAGTCAATGATTTTGCCGATCTGTTCTAAAACGTAAATACTCAGGCCACTTTCTTTGTCGCAAAACTGTGGTCGCATAATAAGATAATAAGTGCATAAAAAAATATTTCATCACATGATAGATCCGCGTTTTTGGCGTTATTTATTTAAACGGGTTTTTTTTTTTTTTTTTCCGAAAAAACAAAAAAAATTTTCTGTACATTATCATCGTTGTATTTATTTTATATATATATATTTTTTCAAGATGGTAACAAGGATAAGCACAAGTCAAGTTATAACTCCCATCATGGGTTCAAAGTTAACCCTCGATCACGTTATGATTTATGCTCTTCAAGACATGGTCGTTAGGATTAGACCACAAAAAATGGAGACACTTAAAACCATACACGTTCCATGGTATCTTGAGAGGTATTCATATTTGAAATTTACATTGTTTCATTTTTTTTCTCAAAGTTAATTTCTTTATATTCCTTTGAAGATTCAATCAAGGTAAATTAATATGTCATCCGACACCACTGTTAAACCTTGATTGTATCATCAATATACTAGAATTCCTTGATGATGATCCAAATACTCTATTCGCATGTACGCTAGTTAATCGAGGATGGTGCAAAATTGCGATAAGCATCTTATGGAGTGATCCCTGGAAATTTAAACGTAGTTCTCAATTACCAAGAAATAAGAAAATTCAAATGATTTCTATATTACTTGAATCATTACCACAACATTATTTAAATACATTAAACGAAAAGAAGATGGGCATCCCTATAGTGTCAAGAAAGACATTATTTGATTACGCCAAATTTGTACGTTACATAAGAATCCGTAGCTTAGAATGGCATTTAACAAAGTGGGTTCAATATAAAGTAGGTCGTATTATTAGTGAAAGGAACCCTGATTTAAGAAGGAGAGTTTCAATTATCGTACAAGTATTGTTGGAACATATTTTCAAATCAACGCCAACCATATATGGATTGATAGTTAATAATGATAATTATACCTCAGAATCTTTAACTTCAGCCATAAGAAATGTACCCGAGGCAAATATTTCCTTAGCCAGTGTCAAAACTTTCACATTTGGTAAAATATTTATGACGATGCCAAAATTATTCGAAACTCTTTCACCGGTTTGTCATAGAATCAATAAATTGGAGATTTGTCCATCACAGGATGTAAAACATACGGCCAGATTAATTAGTAATCAAACGAATTTAATATCGCTCACACTTGTCGATAATTATAAAAGATCGATTCATCGTCAAACAAAAAATGAAACATTTGCTTGGGACAACGAAATATTTAGAGAACTTTTATATAAAGCTGAAATTCTAACTCAGCTCACGTTAAAAAATGTTTGTTTATCCTTGAAGGAATTGAATTACTTTGTAAATTTAGAGGAACTTAATCTTTTAAATTATATGGGAAATATTTCTCAAGAAAATTTTCAAGATTTGACTGAAATATCCCTAAAAAAACTTATAAAATTTTCCTTTATTTCTTTAATATCAAAAATTTATTTAAAAAATCTTTGCAAATTTATAAAAAATTCTAAAGAGTTGACGCATCTCAAGATTCAAGGATATAATTGGCATGACCCTGATTATTCTATCACATGGATAAATTCATTAGCTAAAAATAATCGAAATCTCATCTCTTATGAGGGACCTATTGGATCAGGTGATGTGGTTGCATTGTGGATACTTTTGGATTCTTGTACAAATCTACAGAAATTACACCTACAATGCTCAAGGTATAATTTTTACGCTCCCGTTCCAAATTCAGATTTAAAAAGTTTTGATAATATACTTAGAGAACTTACCAGAAAACAACCTTTGGCTTTGAGAAAATTAATAGTGGGAAGAGGTTGGTCCCTTTCCTCTAAAGGGGTTGAAAGGTTCATAAGTAGTAGAAAGAAATTATCCCTGCCGATTAGATTTGAATGGAATCCAAATACCGAAATTATAGGAGATCTGAGTGAATTGATTAAGAGATATCGTAGATCAACTAAAGTTCATGGATATCGAACAGAACATTATTTTTAGATTCATAGAATTGTATATACGCATCCTCCCCCTGATACAAACGTAGAAGGTTAGAATTAGTGATAAGGAAAGTTGATTCTTTATCTGTATTATTAAGTATATTTTTGGGAACGTCTATTTTGTATTTTAAAAATTTTCTTCAATAAATTTCTTTTTCTTTATTTTTAGCTTTTAACAGGTAATGCATTTCGTAATTTATTGTGGATAAATTATCAAACTATTATAAGAGAATTTATATTTCGCAAAACCTAACGTTACACCTAAAGTTTTTCAAGTTATTATTTAATTATCAATGTTAAAAAACCGAGCTTTATAGAAAAGTTTATCCTATTTAATGAAATACTTTAATGGAATAATTGATGAGTTATTCACTAAAAGATTGAAAGTTGGTCTTTACGAGAAAGATTCACTTTGGCTCAGATTTGAATGGAATTTAATATCGTGCAAATCGAGATGATTTTCATTCTCAAGAATTTCATTGAATCGTGTTATCATCATAATTTCTCAAGAGAATCAAATTGTTATAATCCTCTAGGATTGGTGATTTTGAGACTATCTTTGAAAGCTTTATTTTGCTCGAGATGTTAAAAACGTAAATTATAAATTGCAATCGGATGCACAAATTTAGGTCAGAGATTTGTTTGTTGTGAAAGAATATGAAGTCTTTCAAATTATTAAGAATTAGAAAGTTAATATGGATTGCAAAAAAAAAAATAAAAATTAAGATGATGCATTTTACATTTTGTATTGAAGTCGCAATGATAAAGTTGCCGCAGAATTATCACGTGATATATAAGATAAATTCACAAAATATGTTAAAAAAAAGTCTATTTTATTTATATAAAATATTTTATTTACAAACAAAAAAAAAATTTTAATCTGCTTTTAATTTTCCTTCGATCAAAGAAGCCATACTATTAACAATAAAACTAACCACCGACCAACCAACCCATACAGCAAACAAAATCAAGCTTAATAATAAAGTTAATACAGTTCCGTATACATCTAAATATTTTCCTCTGATAAAACCCATTCTGGTATCAGGTGTAATCCATTCTTTTAATAACCATTCATAAATATCTTCTATTATAGGTTGTTCAGGATTGTAAACAGTTTCATTACTCGTTTCTCGGCTGTTTTCATTATTACTTTCTTTTTCTGTAGATTCCTTTCCTTCATCGTCATTGGAAACATTCTTGTCAACACTTTCTTTCACAATTTCATCATCATATTTGAACTTGTTTGGATTTAATTGAGAAGCTTTCATAACAAATTCAATTAAATCAGCAGCCCTATCTTTTCTTTTACTATTGATTTTTGCCAACACTTGCATTCTTTTTAAATTAACCTTAACTCTAGCATCCAACTGTAAAAATTCGATTTTTCTTACAATATCATCCATGATTAAATTCTTTTTATCCAACTTAACCGCAACACCTTGTTCTTCTAATTTCTCAGCATTAGAAAATTGATCAAAAGCAAATGGTAATATTAACATTGGGGTGCCTGTATATAATGACTCGTGACAACTTGACACTCCTCCGTGCGTTAAGAAAACTCTTGTATTTGCATGTTCAAGGATGGATACTTGCGGTGCCAATCCTGACGATGAATTCGTAACATAAATATGTGTGTATAAGTTATGAAGTATTTCTAATGTATCCAGTTGTGTGTCATCTGATAAAGATATTGTTGAAGGAAAATTTTCGAGACCTGACAATGACCAAAATATTCCATCTATAATGTTTCTATCTATTGCTTCTAATATGGATTGTAATAATATTGCGTAATTTTCCGGTGTCGTGTAAACTTTTGTGCCAAAAGACACATACATAATCCTTTTGTGTGATGATAAGAATGATGAAAGTTTTGGAGTTAATGGTGGATATGAATCTTGCATCACCGGTCCAATTTCCTGATTGTTCATTTAGAAGGGAAGGGTTAATTAAAATTATGATTTAATAAATTGATTCATTTAATAAAGGAGTTTGACTCACTTGATAAAGCGGAGGTACAGGATGTGGAATCTATTGGATTATAAAATTAGTTAAGAATTATTAATTAAACCAAATTATCCAACTAAAAATTCAAGTATCATATACCTCAAATCCAAAGAAAGTATCAGCCAAGAATAAAGAATTTTTAATCCTTTCCAAAGAACTAGATATTGGAGATACCCCGACTGAAACTCTTTTTTCATTTAAAGAAATAATCCTTTGCCTAGATTCATAAAGAAATCTAGCTGGTCGTATAATTAAACATTTAAATCTTTCAATAAACGATTCATTCTCCATATTTGAATGACATCCGTAAATTGGATCGGATTTATATGGAGCAAAAGTTCTTCCTATAACGAATCGATTTTGTTTAGAATAAAAATATTAATTCTTTTTACGTTTAAAAAAAAAAAAAAATAAGGTAATACTTACTACTTAAAGAACTACTTATACCAACGGATGGTATTTTAAATTTCCAAGCAACATCAAAACAAGCTTCATTATTTAATAAATCACATAAGAGTAAATCTGGTTTAAAATCTATTGTAGATTGTTTATAAATTTCATATCTTTCTAAATATTGGTTATCCGCCTCATCTTTTTCCAAAAAAAATGAATTGTAATCATATGACTTTTCAAATATTGGTTGATATATAGATGATAATTCTTTTGTGTCATGTTCTGGACCTGTAGAATATTGTTTAATTGATGGATAATTTGCAGGCGAAGTGAAATTTCCAGGCGCGACCAATGCTACCTATGCGATCCAAAGAGGAAAAGCAGCGGCGGGAAAGATGAGAGGGTTATTTCGGTTTTATCTACGTTTCTATATATCTGAGAATAACTCTCGCTTACTTTATATCCACGCTCTATCAAAATTTTGCAAATTTCCAAGGATGGTCTGAGATGACTTAACCCTGCATAAAGACAGAAACTCATTGATTTAAATGTCACAACGAATGAATCACATGATATATACACATCAAATTACCTCCAACGAATGATCCAACAAGTATATTTTTTGGTTCATTAGCATTTTTATCAATTTCAATTTTGCTTTGAGTAAACTGCTTATGATCAGGTTGTTGTTTTCTTATTTTAAAAAAATTCCACCAAGTTGTTTTCGTTGGCTTTTGTGATGCAGATGAATCGTCTTTTATATTGTCTGATGATGATGCGTTTACTCCAATGAACGTTAAATGAATTAATAAAATTATAACTAATATTAAATGTTTTGATGTCATTTTTTTTTTTTAAAAAATAAAAAAAAAATTTATATTATAATCTTTTTTTATATTTAACTAGATTGATAATATTTTTTTATCAGAAAAATAAAATATAATACAAGAGGTAAAGAAAAAAAAAATCAATTCGAAGGAAAAAAAAGGCTTTTTATGCATGTATGCATGTATGCATGTATGCATGTGTGCATGTGTGCATGTGTGCATATAACCATTACTTTTATCATTACCTAAAAATCAAGTTACACGAACGTTTGATGATCAAATTTTAATGTTTTCTTTTATAAAATTAATAAAGTTACTATCGTAATAAAAAAAAAAAATTCTTTCAAATTATTGCACGTGATACGTGATACGAAGCAATTATTCAATTACAAATAATCAGTTTTGAAATAATAATTATACTGGATCTTAAAATTGAATAAAATTAAAATATTTCAAATAGTTTATAAATAATTTTTAATTTTGTAAGCTATACATTTAAAAAATGCTATCTACCGTATCAATTTGTAAATATTTATTAATAGTTTGATCTGTATTACTAAATATTCTTTTACTTAATATATATATAAAGCTAGAATTGTAAGATAGTAAATACAAAGAATTAAAAAATGTTAATTATATATTTGTACTAAAAAATACAACTTAATCTTCTTGACTCTTGAAGTATAATCTTAATAAAATCCGTTAATTATTATATTCATATTAGAAAAACATTAATCTTATTATTATTTATTATAAAAATAATTAATTAGAATATAAAATTTAAATTTAAATTAATTTATTAACTTAAAATTTACTAATTTAAATTTGATATAAAATTAATTCTAGATTAAAATTTATGCTAAAATTATTTTTAAAAGATTTATAATAAAAATAAATTCTTAAAATATATTTAACAAAGTAATTATAATATTAATATTTAAAAATTATTTAATAATATAATAATAAATATATTATTTATAAAAATCTCTTAATCTTATAAATATTATTATACAAGTTGATTATAAAATTTATTAATTAAAAAAATAAACTTAAATATATAATAGAATTTTAAATTTTAATATTAATAATTAATTTAATATTCTTAGAATTATCAATTTAAATTTATATATAAAATAGTAATAATGATAAATTATATTTTAGATAAATTAATAATATATAATTTTAGAAATAAAGATTAATTTTATTAAATAAATTAATTATATCAATATAATTCAATAATTCTAAAAATCTTATTTAAAATTATTAATTATTTTAATTGTACTTTAGTGAAAATAGATTTTTTTAAATTACAACTAGAATTTCAAAAATAATTTGTATAAACTTATATATTTAATTTATATAATTTTATATAATTATAAATTTTATTATATATAATAAATAAGTACTTTAAACTTAAAATATATA